TTTTTTTTCTAAAAATTTTTTTCTAAATTCTAAAAAAATTTTCAAAAAAAGTTTTTTTTTTTTTTTTAAATCAGCTGATTTATTTTTTTAGTAATTAATTTTAAAAATTTACCTCAAGATTTACACAAGCCATAATACGGAGTGGCATAGGAACGGCGTCATCATCGTAAATCGGCACCATCTCTTCCTCTTTGGCCAAGCACAGTCGGCACAGCTCGTTTACGTGAATAATAACATTACTTGGGCTATCACCCTTCTTTCTGCTGTATGTTTTCATTTTATATTTATTATTTAATTATTTAAGTATTTAAATCACCACTTTTTAAACTTAATTATTTTTATTATTTATTTATTTATTTATTAGGATATATTAACGAGGAGATGTTTAAGTAACAGTAATAACACTGTGCACTGCAGCTCCAACCTCCAACTCGGTCACAACGGAATCTATAATGGCAGCCGTAGTGGCCACTTTAACGTTGACAATATGGCGGAGCGTCCTTCTCCTTCTTTGTTAGAATTTACAAGTCCGAGAGAGAGCGCTGCGAGAGGCAACAACGATCCCGCGGAAATAACGTGGCAACATGGTCGATACTAGCGTCTCTATCGGAAATGTCGATAATAGCGAGAATATTATTATATGTTTAATTTCCAAGTTTTTTTCTTTTCTTTTTTTGCTTTATTGTCCGGCTGTCCGGCTGTCCGGCTGGGAAAATTTAAAAGTTTAGGTAAGGTAAGTAATATGTTAACAATAAAAATTATTGTAGTTAATATTATCGTCCACAATTATCAATAATAATTGTAAATTATTATAATAATAAATTACATTATTATTATTATTAAAGCAAAATTTTATTTATTTATAGTTCACATAGTGACTGCAATAGTTGCTAGTAACAAAAGTTGAGAATAAATATTAAATAAAATTTTTAGACTTAAAAAAATTAATAATTAATGCATTTTTTAAACTTTTATTAATTTTATCAACCGTGATTTTATTAACTTCTAACCCGTTATCACCTATTCGGTCCGAATAGGTGATAACGGGATAGAAGTTAATGCATTTTTTATTTTTTCAGTGTAATTTTATTAAAAAAATTTTTTTTTATTTCAGTATCAACATCTACTTACAGCAGCAAAATTGTCTCAAAACAATAACATTGAAAGTTTGCCATGATTATCCACAGATTCGGTAGAATCTGGCGCCAAGTTCCGTTCAAATCCGTTGTCAACGGAGCGCCAGACTACCGACTGTGTTTACTGTAAGCAGAACGGTATTTTGAGGTTGCAAAATTTGATTTAATTCTACGGTACTTTTTTTTCCTAAATTGTATATTATAACAGTAATTCATACTTTATTTTACTGTTATTAATTAATTATATTCACTTATAACAATTAATCTACTTGAAATTACTAAATATAATCAGCACAAACTATAGCAACGCAAAAATTTCGATCCTGACTTTTTTTCGATGGGCAAAGTGATCTGCCACAGACTAAAATATTCGAGAATGCATAGTAATCCTTCATCAGATGGGAAACTACAGTTAAAAAAAGATATATCACAGCTTGCATCTACACCCGCCAGGATGCGCTGGAATTATTTTTACATAAACTGTAGCCTCAAGGGAATAGTTTGCTATAAAAAAAATGCACCCAACGCGAGATTTAAGTTGGTATCAATTGTAAATTTTTATTATAATTAAAAAAAATACTAAAATCCGAACAAAAAAAGTTTCACTGTAAAAAAATCGCGCCAAGTCCACATTCATAAGACTATTAAGAAAAAAAAAATTAGTTTTTTCTTTACAAAAAGATAAAAAATAAAAAAATTAAAAAATCCTCGTAACCGATATAATTGTTTATGATTTTCGGAAATTAAAAAAAATTTTGCTGTAAATTTAAAAATTAAAAAAACAATTTTGGAACATACTTGGTGTGCGTCATATTGTGCATTTCAATTTTTTTAAAGTCCTAGTAAATAGATTTTACGAATTTAATTAAAAGTAAAATATTTCGCAACAACGCACACTAAATACGTTCCAAAATTGTTTTTTAAATTTTTAAATTTACAACAAAATTTTTTCTAATTTCCGAAAATCATAAACAATCATATCAGTTACTTGGATTTTTTAATTTTTTTATTCAATATCTTTTTGTAAAGAAAAAAACTAATTTTTTTTTCTTAATAATCTTATGAACGTGGACTTGGCGCGATTTTTTACAGTGAAACTGTTTTTGTACGGATTT